ATGTTAAGTGTTGCCATATACCATTAGTATTTTCGAGTGTTTTTTCAGTCCATAATACCAATATCCAGAAATAATGAGATAAGAGATTTTTTAATTGTCTTTCTATTTATTAAGCATCACTTTCTTCGCACTGACTCCACATAAAATGTAACAAAAAATGATAAGATTTTTAAACTGAGCATCGAAATCATAAGATTTTTAAACTAAGCATAATTTTAGAACTCCGGATATTTGATTTGTTTAGGATCCGGAGATCTAAAAGCTTCTGAACTTTTAGATCTCCGGATATTTGCTTAAGCGTAGGGATGCCTTCGTGAAGGACATTCTAAGGAAAAGTCGCTCGTATAACATGTTAGACATGGGGAAAACCACAAAAATGTCCATGCAGACAGCACCGTTCGCTGGATTCGAATCTCACCAAATTACAGTATCCAGCGACTTTACCGCTCGGTCACTGGTGGGCCAGAACTCCGGACGAGGTGTTGTTAAGTGTTGCCACAAATATTTTTTAGCTATGGTATTTATATTTTTTATATTATTAACATAGCGATAACACTTGTTGGCAGCATCCTTTTATTTGAAAAGTGAATTGAATCCTTTCGATTCGAGTGAAACGGACACAAAATTGCGGACTGAGAGTGATACGCACAACTGCTTCATAACGAGAGCTCATCTTTATAATGAGATTATTGTCATTGCACTTGGCATAATTACAAGAATACTTATAAATAAAATATATTGTTCTCAATCACATACATGTTTTATATACTAAGTTTAAGAAGGTTTGGCTTATCTCATAATATATTTTTAATACCATAATATAGTCTCTTCTATGTTATAAATCTGTTTAAAACTTCAAGTAAAGTATCATTTCAGGTTTATCAGATTAATATAAAATTAATTTCTTAAATACTAAAACTGGAAAGTTCTGGATAATGTTTTTATATACTTTTTGATTAAAAGCTTCCTTATATTTTATAGGCTTTAAATAAAGTACCGCTTCCGATTATCCATTAAAAATTGCTATGGGTTTCACGTAAACTACCATTTCCGGTTGTGTAATTTTATCCCAAATATAATCAAATCTTTATACAAGTGCCAAATAAATGTGGGAAAGAGGATGCTTTGGAAATTTTAGTGGAGTTATTGGGGACAGAAATGTCGTCACACACATACAGACAGATATCATTATAAGAATAGTAAAAATGTGTTGTTACGACCCATATTCGACCCATATATATTAATCACTGAAAACTCGCTATCGAATTTGTGAACCAAAAATACTCCGTCTCTTGCCAAAGTATATATCATTAATACGTAAAATATTTATAATTAGCTAATTTATTAGTTATTGTCACAAAATATGCAATGATTTATTAAAAAATTAAATAATATCCATAAAGTGTAACACGATAAATTTACAACAAAACTTTGAACTATTCGTTTTTGTAACGATTAGTTCCATCTTGCATCACGTGCGACTTTTTTGGTTCAAAATGAAATTCTACGTAATTAACGTTATTTACTCTCTCATCCATCCATTAATAAACTGTTATTTTATATAATTAATCGCTTGTAAATCACATTTTCAACCCAGCATCTCCATATGATTCATTTTTGGAAAAGAATTTTGAAACGAAACACCATTCTTGCTATTTATATTATATCCTCTCTATAAATATGGCAAGTATAGTAACGCAATATCGTTTCGCAAAAGATTCAGCTACGCAATATTATTATTACTAGTTCTAAATGATATTCGCAGAATAAGTTTACTTTTCACTATGTGTATTCTTGTTAGCTTTCAGAGGTTTGAGGATTAATTTCCAGTTTGGGTGTACAAACGAACTACTACAAAGAAAAAAATTACCACAAAGACATAAAATTTAGAAAAGCATAATTTATAGCTCTGGCGAGAGATACGAAGCTTTGCAAAATATCTAGCAAAGTCGCGTTGAAGTGGATGCGTAAAAAGGAGACGATGAAAACATCTTAAATTTTAGACACATTATATTTTCTTCTGTAAAAAAATTTAATCAAGAAGCAATTGACAATATATATATTTTTTGTGGTTGTCAAAAAGTAGTTTCTATCGTAACGTATTCAAATTGAATACATTTCTATCGTAATGTATTCAAATTCTCACTTTTTTCATTTTACGATCTTTTAATTATCTACAATGCGCAATAATTTTACTGTTTAATAGTTGTAAGGATTATGTTAATTTTATTAACAGTTAAATTTTAAGTTCCTTTTCTGTCGATTCTTAACTTCAACTTACTACTTCCGGCCAGAACGTAGTTTTAGAATCACGTCTGAATACATAATGAGGAAGAGCGGTATTTAACCGCGAAGTTCTTCGGTCTTAGAGAGAGAGATACCAGGTATTCTGTCTGCACGCGTCCGCCTTTTTTTTAGGCTACTCTCTCGTAAGCTATTATCATGTTCGGCCGTACTTTAGGCCCTTAATAGCTTCGTAGTCTATTAATGTTAAGGGACAACTCTGTTAGAATGTTTGATAGCTTCGGCTATACCTCATTATTTTAAAATTAGTTTAGTATTATTTTTAGTCTCTTAAGTTCAAAGCCCAAGTTTCGGCTTTATTGTATACCCCAAGAAGGAGTTTTGTTAGATCTTAGTTGGAATAATAAAGGGTTAGTTTACCCTTCTATCTTGTTTTTTCTTGTTACACGAACTCAAGCGATTATTCGTTTATCAGTTCATAAGATTCTTCACTTTCAACAGTAACTTAGAATTTACAAAGTGAGGAACTGTACATAGTTTTTTCATTAATTATGCTTTTCCTCTATCCCAGTGAAAAGCGACAGGCCGAAGTTCTAGTATGGGAAATACTTAAAGCTACATTTGCATAGACAAGTGACTTAGTTAAATCTACTTATTATAGACAGTTAGTTTTATTCAAAGCTCGATTGTCAAGAGAGTTACTGTATAAAGAAAATATGTGTTGTTGTTGTTGCGGATTATCTCACTTGTCTGACCTAATTAGAGCAAGCTCACGAATTTCACTGCAGCAAGGAGTGAAGGATTGTGTCTTTCTTTGGCGTGGACCTTGAGAACCATAAGCGTCAGTACTACTTTGCCAAGCTTCGCCCCAGTTTTGATCAAGAGCTCTTAAGGGAAAGGGTCCAAAGGTCTTCTAAGCCTTTATCCTTACCACTAAAGAACTCGAGAGAACGTTTGGTTTGTCGTGTATTCTGAGTGCCCCCATGCCACACAGGAACTGCACATTTACAAATATCCGTGCTCTCTTAAAAGTATATTCACTTAATCGAACTACACTGAAAATTATTTCTTTAATGCCAGTGTGTTATTATCCTGAATACAATCAGCTAACATATTCACAGATTATAAATTCGAAAGTATTTATTCAACCGCTTCTGAAAGGTGGTTTATTTATTGTCAATAGCTAGTAAATGTTAAGAGATTTGTCTTAATAATGCAAATTTATCAAACTCAGTTTCACTTAAAAAGATACCTGGTTTTTATCATTAACTAACCATTGTAGAAGTATTCTGTTAGGATGACATCCTACTAATACACATTTTCTCTCTAAAGAGGAAGTCTGGAAGAGCTCTAATAATTACAAATAACATCTCTTCAAGCAATAAGACGTAAGATGAAGTTAATATTCGCTAACTTTTAAACTTTCTTGCAACTGCTTTAAATTTGTGAGGCCATCTGGTCCATGTAAATATATGTGACATGAGCAAAATGGAAGACAGGACACGGTTTAACTTAAATATTAAAAAAGCTTGTATATCTTTTAATATTATCTTATCTCAGCACAAAAAGTTTCAAAATCTTATACTGAGGCAGCAGATGCTAATAAAATGAATTAAAATTGCATATACCTTATTGTTACAAATATTATTCCACAAAAAATAAAAGAAATAATTTTATTTTTTACATTGCATATCATAAGAGATGGATACATCTAGCGTACAAACTAGCCAAATGGAAACCGTTGCCGCTATGAAGGGATTTTCAAAACATTAGACGTTTTTTATTTAAAGCGAAAATGGATTTTGTAGATTTTTTCATACTTAAATATTAAACAAATAAACACATAATTTCGGTCTTTGTCTCATCAGATTAATTGAAAAAATATTTAATTAAAGTTACTTACTAAAATTAACTATAAAATTTTGGCAATTGTTTCGCCAGCTATATCAGAACTAGCTTGAAATTCTGACGTCTAAAAATCTAATTCTCATGCCATGAAAGTTTCATAGATTATAACATTTACTATTCGCTCTTTTTTAAAATAAAAAGGTGGAAAATATGATATGGGCTAAGTAATTTCTGCAGCTGTTTCTAAACACATAACACTAAGAATGTTAAGCCAACAAGAAGCTGATTTTCTTCGTCATTTCGTTTGAGAAATATATGGCATCGTGCCGAAACACGCATCAAGGATATGACAATTATTATAATTGTATTCTAATTTTTCTCATCTATTTACCATCTATTCTAATTTTCCTCTAGCTCTGTCCTTTACTTTTGTTCTATATATAACAAAAGAATATGTAAAAACAAATAATGAAAGCTTGCGTATTTGCGTCAAGGATTAATCAAAATAAAATTTACCGTTTCATTGCATACGTCACAAAGCTGCAAAGAAAGTAGGTTTTAAAATCATTAAAGTTTTAATTTCATTTTATACTGAAATTAATATAACAAACTGAAGTTTTTATCAGTACTCTCAGGTTTAAATACACAACCAACAAGCTGAAGTATTTTCAGAAAGGATCTATTTGATATGGAACAATATCGCATACACCGTTTTAAATAATACAACATACGTTTTGAATGTTTTAAAATCTTTCCATTATTGGTTTTTATAACATTTTCTTGTGTTTTATGCTACGTATGGAAATAGGTTTTCTCTTCACTGAAAGAACAGCAACATTACAAAGCAGGCTGAAGTGTTAACATTAAATATGTTAAATGTCTCCAGGCAAAGAAGAATTTCAACTTACGATTCATATCAATAATGACCGAACTTGTAACTGGGGCTGTGAGATTGGAATTGGATACTTGGCACATGAGTCTCGTCATGAGATCCGTTCGCTTTAGACTGGCCAGAAGTAGTTCATTGCGAGCGAATCCTTGAGGAGTGATGTAGTATGAATCATCCAGCAGTTCGGCTTCTCGCCACCACTTAACAGCCGGGGAAGGGTCACCTGCAAAGTGAAATTCCATTTTTAATGAACGAACTACCTTATTTATAATATTTTGATCGTTTAATAGAGATATTGAGATATGGAGCAAAATAGCATTTAGAAGGTTGAGGGAAATATGGATGCCATTGCTTTGGTTAGTGAAGTGCATCATATGTGGATATATTTATCTAAGCAGAGAGGTTTCGTTTCAGCACTTTGCAGATTCCAATAAAGATAGTTTTGTAACTTATTTTGGAAAGACAATTGCTTCATGTCTGTTGCATATGTAAGAAAAAATAACGAAAACTCATTGGAAATGACCCTTTTAATCCTCAAGAGTTCAATGCGAGGCAAACTGCTACTGCTCCAAGACTTCGGGATGCGTATCAGATGTCTACTTACTGATACGCTTCCCGAAATTCAAATGAGACATTTACTCACCGCATGGGCAGCGATTCACTAAAGGAGGTATAAACTGATTTTTATGTAAATTCTCGAAATGATCTGAGATCTCAGCTTTCCATTTCTGTTTTGTTTAAAATAAGGTTGTAGAGACAATAGATATTTTTGTGGAAGCAGGAGAAGCGAAAAATGAGCAACGCCGTCGCCGGGAATCGTACCACGGGCCTCTGGAATACGCGTACAGCGTGCAGACCGCCACACCACGAAGGCATGCTAAGAAGGCGGGAGAAATACATTATATACTCCTCCTTTTAAAGGGCGATTGGAGTTCTTAAGGGACACAGTCGCCAAATCCTGGGTGTGGAGAATCATCATTCACCGCTTTTTTAGTTTGGGCGCCACTGTAGAGACATTACGTATAGTTTTGGAAGCAGGAGAAGTGAAAATTTAGAAACGCCGTCGTCCCGAATCGAACCACGGATCTCTGGAATACCACGGAGCTCTGGTTGTGGTCTGCACGCTGGGCGCGTGCAGACCACAACACCACGAAGGCATGCTAGGAGAAATACCTCATAAAGTTTAAATATTTTAAATTAAAATTTAATTCTTTTACTTATAATAAAGTACGCAGTCTGCATATTATGGTTTGGTTTGGTTTATTAGATTACGGCAAAGCACTCGAGGACTATCTGCCTTAAGTGAGGGATGCCTTCGGGGAGCACCTTTCAAGGGAAACTGGCTCGTATACGCGTTACACATGAAGAAATCCACGAAAACACCCATACAGCCAGCTCGTTTGCGGGATTCGAAGCTCGGAAAGAACTACCAGTGTTCAGCGACGTTACCGCTCGGCCGCTGATGGGCCCTGGATATTATGTCAGAAGACTTTACATAAATTAGTATGAAAGGCTCATGACGTGCTAATTCCAGTTTCATGATGAGTCTACTTAAAAATGCTTCCCAGCAGTAATTGACAGCATTCGTTCTAGCAACGTGAAAATAGATGATATTTCAGATTTTGATAATTAGCTCATATGGGAGTTCGTTGGGCTGGAACAAAGACTTAAAACATTATCAAACTGAGCAACATTTCGAGCAAAGTTATCTTTAAAGGTCGAACAGTGAGATCTATATAGATCCTAAATTGAGTAATTTCTGCTTTCAAATAATATATGGCGACAGAAATCCATGTGGTATGAGAAAACACGTGAAGAGCAACAGAAATTTAAGTATATAGCAGCTAATACATTCACATTATACTGGCCATTGTGAAAGCCTATCGAACAGTATTATCTGTAAAATATTTAGAAGAATTCAGTTCAATAGGAGCATAGCAATTAAAAAACCACTGATTTCTGTGAAGTATATATGATTTATATATGATGAAGTATATATGTTCGTTTCATTCCTGTCTCATATGCTGAAGAAATTTCATCCTTATTCGTTTTTTAGTCATTAGTTTGTCTTTTTGTCATGCAATTTTTCGTATACCATTAAAATGCCTTCTTATTAACTTCCAATTTTTTCTATCAACATTTATTATTTTAATTTCTTACAAAAAATAAATTAAACTTATTAAGGAACGTTAGTTTATTGTAAATAGTGGGATACTTGCGCTTGTGTAGCAGAATTTTGCACAAACACTAAAAGGTATTTCTCTCGCCTTCTTAGCGAGCCTCCGTGATGTGGTGGTCTGCACGCTGGGCGCGTATTCCAGAGGTCCGTGGTTTGATTCCCGGCGAACGCGTTGCATAAGTTTCATTTCTTCTGCTTCCAAAAAATAACACTACTCAAGGTTTCATTTTGACCTGCTTCATCTCACAGATTTTAATTATTAACGTAAATGTTCACAAAACTTTCTTTTAACAGGGATGTAAATTACAGGAATGTAATTATATAAATTGTAGCTTGTAAAGGAGATTTTTTTTATTAAATGCAAAATATTTTATCATCATATTGAAAACAAAATTTTCCTGAGAAGTCTCGAAAATTGTTTACAGCTTAGTAACACAGAATATTGAAAACTGACGAATTTAACATTTAGAATAAGTTTAAATATATTCTCTGCACATAAGGTGTACTTATAGCTAAACTGCTGCCTTAATGCTATATCTTGTGTTTTAGTATTTATGATACCATTGTTACTCATGCTATTAACATCATGTACGTTTCTCACAACTTGCTCATACACTACAAGCATCTTCTAGATTATCTACTTCATTTATAATGTTTTTGAATTCTTTTCCATAATCTCAGCTATCATCTAATTTGTTTAGAAGTTTCAAATATCTTCGTGAAATTCCAGTACACTTTCACATTGATTTTAAAATCCTAATAGTTATACTTAGTATATAAATTCTCTTGAAACAGCCAACAGCCAGACATAATGATACAGAGTTTTGGTTTGGTTCTTAGAAGGTTACTTACAGCGAAATAAAGCTGTAAAGAATACCATTTAGTTACAGTGAATGTAAGTATGGGTGAGAAATCATCCAAAGCAGTGAAACATTGTAAGGTCAAAAAATAATTAGTTTCATTGTAAGTTTTTTTTCTTTAGCAAAGCAATTAGACAATTCAGTTTGCTTCATATTTAACCCACTGACTATGTACAAGAAATACGAACGGAAAGGACTCACAATATCGAATGTTTAGCATAGACTTAACTTTGACCTTAACTCCGAAAGGCTTTACTTATTTCAGATAAATATTGCAGTCAATCATCTTTAAAACTGAATCAATATGTTGCTTTTAAAGGGATACAACTGATATATATATATATATATATATATATATATATCTTATAGGGTGTCGAATATATGAAAGATATATTTTTATCTGAGCGTAAGATTTCGAATTTTCTGGAAAGCTATATATTTAATTTATAAAATCTCTAATAAGACTACCATTAATTGTCAAAAAAAGCTCGACATAACAACTTTAAAATTCGAACCAAACCATGAAAAAATAATATGTTTAAATATATCGATATATAACATCATCTCTTTTGTTCCTTACAAGAAACAACTCTAATTACGCTTCCAAAAAACTTCGTGAAAAATATTATAATAATTTTTTGTTGTTGTTAAATTGCGTGTTTTAAGTATAAAAAGTTTTTTGTTTAAACATTGCTTGTAAGAAAAAGCATATTTATTCCTTATATGTTTTATCCATCACTTATTAAGCTTGTTGGAAAAAAGATGAGAAATATTTTTTTAAAAGTAAGATTGTGTACGTGCAATTCGTGACAGAGTTGGTAAGGAAAAATTACCGCTTTTACGGATATAAAATGTTTTTAAAACTGCATATTATAAATGATATTAGTGCATGCAAGTATTTTAATGATTTAATTATAGTTTAGACTTCTTTTTGTCGAAACTTTGCCTTTTTAAAAAAGTTTTATGCAAAAATTTCTATTAATATTTCTAAATAAAAATATATGAAAGGTACCTTGATAAATATTTAAATAGTTTGTTAAATTTTTGTAGACGTTAGTGCAATTAAACAAAATTAAAGATATAGCCGCGGTAAACAATTGCTTCAAAATTATGTACAAAGTTGTATTTATCTCTATATATTAATTTGAGTACGTAATCATAACCTGTATTATTGCGAGCTTTACACTTATCACAGCTTACGGCGTTTTTATTACTTTTGCCTTAAAAGTATTTTTAAGGTTTCTGAAATTAGTTAATATTTTAGTTTGAAACAACCATGGTAACGGCAGCTGTGGCAGATTATGGAGTACAATAACTGATTTCCCTAATTTTATTTAGTGTATTTCGCTTTGTGTAAAGCGCACTCTTGAAGGCTGATTCGGTTTGCAGCGTCATATGCCGTGGAGAAAATAAATGTTGTACGGTGTCAAAGATACGTGTTACGAAGGAAAATGGGAAAGTATCAGAATGGCTTTAAATACATATTTTAAAAGAACAGACTATAAGTGTTTTTTGATTGTAATATTTTAATTGCTGAGCATTTACTAAAAATTTGTTAGATTTTTTTCCTTAGCTAAATATTCTAACTCGTATTAATTTACTTTCATCTGCGTTTCTGATTACATTTGGTGTCACTTATATAAATATAATAATTCATACATATTTTGTTCAAAATGCGAATCTTCAGTTGACAATTAATCGAAACGAAACCGCAATAATATTTCTGTATCATATGAAAAATCTCCATACGAAGTTTAATATTACCTGTGCACATAGAATAGAAATAAACAAACCATAAAATATTTTTGTACGATGTCTCACAACCAGAAATGAAGCTAACTACCGAAGTTAAAATACGAATGTAGCTTTGAGGATCATTCAGACAGAAAAACCTGAAATTTACTCTGCTTCATATGCAAACGTTATAAGCATTTTCGAGCACGAATGAAGAGATGAAAATATTCACAAAGTAAATAATTTTTCGTAAGAAGCACTTATTGTATGTTATGAAACAAAAGTAAATTGCTGTCCTTTCAAGATTTACTGTTTTTTGCAAAGCGAATGTTCTTAAGTATAATATAAATTTATGGCATAGAGTTTAAAAGAAGCTTCTTGTACGTGTGCGTGCGTGTAGGCAGAAAGATCAAATAAGAGAGAAATATCTTTCTTTTAGTGAGCCTTAAG